AGCTTGGAGAAAAGGAGACTGAGGGGTGACCTCATCAATGTTTACAAATATGTAAAGGGTGAGTGTCAGGAAGATGGGGTTAGGCTTTTTTCAGTGATGACCAGTGATAGGACAAGGGGTAATGGGTGCAAACTGGAGCATAGGAGGTTCAAGGTGAATATCAGAATTTTTTTTTTTACTGTGAGAGTGACAGAGCCCTGGAACAGGCTGCCCAGGGAGGTTGTGGAGTCTCCTTCTCTGGAGACATTCAAGACCTGCCTGGATGCAGTCCTGGGTAATGTGCTCTAGGTGATCCTGCATTAGCTGGGGAGTTGGACTAGATGATCTCTAGACATCCCTTCCAACTCTGACAATTCCATGACTCTGTGATGTGTAGGCTGGCTCCTTGGCTAAGCAGCTGTCAGAGCTAACACTGCTGAGGATGAAGTGCCCCACCTCTGGTCTATAGAGACATCCTGTCTGTGCTGGCAATGTGCTCAGGGGGAGTTGAAAGGGCATCTGGGTGTGGCCATTGGTAAAATAAAAGACAGCTGTTGTGACTCAAGGTGCCACTGCAGAAGAGTTGTGCTTTGGAGGAGGTAAGACCTTGGTAGGAGCTGTTAAGGTATTTGGGGATTTTGTGGGAGAAGGGTGTTAGCTACAGCTGTTTTAAGTGCCAATAGAAAGACTGTGGAAGGCAGTGCAAGGCTTGATGTGTTCAGAAGCACAAGGTAATTGTCTAATTGAAAGAACAAGCAGATGTTGTTTAGAGACTGCCAGCAGGGTGGGTGATGTTAGAACCTTGCTGGCTGTCTGAGCATCGAATGCCCTTACGGACACTTGGACACAGTGGACACCTGCAGGCTGCTCTGGATCATCAGAAATTTGTAGGTCAGGATCTGTCAGTGCTGAATGGGGCAGGAAGGACAGGGGAGCCAGGAAGCCCCCCAAGTGTGTGCTACAGTGGAGAGCTGTTGGTATGGAAAGTGGATAGTGCTGGGGCATGGAATGACCTGCATCTGGGTTTTCTTCTCTTCCTTGGGAGAGGTTTCATGTCTTGTTTCTGTTAACCCTAAAATACTGTGTTGGATGAGAAATTGCTAGAGCCTTCTGCTTTTTAAAGACCTCTGGAATTTGCAGTGAAGAACCATCCCTTTGCACACATCCAGTGTGGACAGTGTCCAGCAGTGACTGCCATCATTTCTCTGTGCAGGCCAGGAGTGAATGAGTGTGTTTAGTTCCCTGCCATTCCTGGACATTCAGCAGGGAAGGATCTGAAGGACAGGGGCCTGGAGGCAGTGCTATGGGTTTCCCACTGGTTTTCCTATTCCTGGAAGCAAATGTTTCTGTGTGGCATGCAGCATGCTGCATGTTAAATAGAGATGATGAGTGGAGCTGTCTGGCTGACCTCTCTGGAATAATTAAGTTTCTAGTGGGTGCAGGAAACGGATTTTCCCATCCTTGTCATCTGTGGCATGAGGGAGGGTGTGGACAAAGCAAAGAAGGGTGGAAGGTGGTGGATGGGGTGACTCCAAGAGATGTATGCATCGTGGAGGGCTTGTTAGCACTGTCTGATTAATTCCTGCAGGAGGTGAATTTCTGGAGCAAAGTAGCAGTAATGCTCTTTGTGGCCAGCATTCTCATAGGTAGTTGTCTAATGACCTGTGCTGTCTGTAGTACAGAGCTGCCCCTTCTCTGCTGTTGATACAGTTGCAGTCATTGCTCATTTCTCAAGGGGGTTAGGTTGTCACACGCCTTTTCTCTCATGTGCTTGGCTATTTTTCGGTTAATTTTCCCTTCCACGCTGAATTTTTGTGGCATTTAAAAGTGTAATCAAGTGCATCAAACCAACAGGTAGTGCTGTTGTCCCCACAGCAGTGTCCATTCCCTGCTGTTCAAGAAGCCAGTTCACAGAGTTGAGAGATTTGCTTTAATATCCAGTTCTGTGCAGATCAGGAAGCGGGGGTGTGTTCCACACAGCAAGCTCAGTTTCCTGAAACACAAGACTCTGCTTTAAGCCTCCCAGCCGAAACAGTGAGGTGGATGAAACTTTCTGTAAGCAGTTGGGAGAAATCTCCCAGTCACTTGCCATTGTTGCATGGGACTTGAACCTCCCAGACATTTGCTGGGAATACAACAGAGCAGAGGGGGAAAAATCCAAGAGGTTCCTGAAATGTGTGGAGGGTAACTTCCTCACAGAGCTGATAAGTGAGCTGACCAGGGGAGGTGCCCTCCTGGGCTGCCTTCTTGTGAAGAGGGAAGATATTGTGGGGGAAGTAAAGGTTGGAGGCCGTCTAAGGCACAGTCATCATGGGATTATTGAGTTTTTGATCCTTGAAGAAACAAGGAGAGCGGTTAGTAAAACTGCCACCTTAGACCTCTGGAAGGCAAACTTTGACCTGCTCAGAAGACTGATTGACGAAGTCCCTTGGGAGGTGCCTTGAAGCATAAAGGAGTCCAGGAAGGCTGGACATAATTCAGGAAAGAAGTCTTAAAGGCACAGGAGCAGGCTGTCCCTTTGTGCCCAAAAATCAGTAAGTGGGGTAGGAGACCAGCCTGGCTAAATAGGGACCTTTCGCTGCACTTTAAGAACAAAAAGAGAGTCTGTGACCTTTGAAGAGGAGGCAAGTCATTCATGAAGTTTATAAAGATTAAGTGAACCTGTGCAGGGTGAAAATTAGGAGAGCAAAGGCACAGCTAGAGCTCAAACTAGCTACAGGTGTTGGGGATAATAAAAATGTTTCTAGGAGTTCATGAACTACAAAAGGAGGATTAGGGAAAATTTCCATCCTTTATTGGATGCAGAGGGAATCTTAGTAACAAAGGATGAGGAAAAGGCTGAGGTGCTCAACACCTACTTTGCCTCAGCCTTTAGCAGTGGAACTAGCTGTTCCATGGGTACCCAGCCACATGAGCTAGGAGACAGGGAGGGAATGTGGAACGAGGTCATCACAATGAAAGAGGAAGTGGTCAGAGACCTACGACACCACTTAGATGCACACAAGTCCATGGGACTGGATGGGTTACACCCAAGGGTGCTGAGTTGGTAGATGGAATCACCAAGCCACTTTCCATTACTTACCTCAAGTCCTGGCCATAACATAACACCCATCCACAAGAGAGGCAGAAAGGAGGATCTGGAAAACTATAGACCTGTCAGTCTGACCTCAGTATCAGGGAAGGTCACGGAGCAGATCATCTTGAGTGTCATTAGAAGCCATACAGAGGTCATCCATGGCATCAGTCCCAGTCAACATGGGTTTATGAAAGGCAGGTCCTGCCTAGTGAATCTGATTTCCGTCTATGACCTGATGACCCAACCATTGGACGTAGGAAAGGCAGAGGATATTGTCTATGTGGACCTCCAAAAAGCATTTGACACTGTTCCCCATAGAACTCTCATAAAAAAACTGGCTACTCATGGCCTGGATGCGCAAATGATCTGTTGAATCAAGCACTGACTGGACAGTTGGGCCCAAAGAGTGGTCAAATGAGTCAAATCCAGCTGAGGCTGGTCACAAGTAGTGTTCCTCAGGGCTCAGTGTTGGGACCATTTCTGTTTAACATGTTTATGGATGATCTTGAGAAGGACATAGAGTGTATCATCAGTAAGTTTGCAGATGACAGCAAGCTAGGCAGGAGTGTTGAGCTGCATGAGGGTAGGGAGGCTTTGCAGAAAGACTTGGATAGATTGGACTAATGTTAATGGTCTGGGCTTCAACAGGGTCAAGTGCTGGGCCCTGCACTTGGGCCACAGCGACCCCAGACAGCTGTGGGCTGGGGGAGGTGTGGGCCCTTGGGGAAGTGTGGCTGGAAAGTGTCTGGCAGAAAAGGACCTGGGGGTTCTGATTGACAAGCAGCTGAATATGAGCCAGCAGTGTGACCCGGTGGCCAGGAAAGTCAATGTCATCCTGGCCTGTATTAGAAATAGTGTGACCAGCAGAAGCAGAGAGGTGATTGTCCCCCTGTCCTCAGCACTGGTGAGGCCACACCTGGAGTACTGTGTCCAGTTTTGGGCACCTCAATTCGAGAGAGATCTCAAGGTGCTGGAGTGAGGACAGAGGAGGCAACGAAGCTGGGGAAGGGCCTAGAGAATCAATCTGATGACGCTTGAAGGAGCTGGGAATGTTTAGTTTGAGGAAGATGAGGCTGAGGGGAGACCTCATCAGTCTCTATAACTATCTGAAAGGTCATTGTAGAGAGGTTGGTGCTGGTCTCTTCTCACAGGTAATTAGTGACAGAACAAGAGGGAAGGGCTTCAAGCTGCACCAGGGCAGGTTCAGACTGGACATTAGGAACATTTTTTTTTTCACAGCAAGAGTGGTCAGACCCTGGAACAGACTGGAGGTGGTCGAGTCACCATCCCTGGATGTGTTTAAGGGTCATTTGGATGTGGTATTGGTGGAGATGGTTTAGAGAAGAACTTTGTAGAGTAGGCATGATGGTTGGACACAGTGATCCCAAGGGTGCTACTTTTATGCCCCAAAACATGAGAAAGAACTTGATCTCTATCATTATTCTGTCACTCACATGTGGTTGGTCAGCTTGTGTGGATGAGTTTCTGAACAGTAATGGACATGGAAAAATACTAGAGCTGTACGTGCAGGGAACAGGAGATAGGGACGTGCAGGGAACAGGAGATAGGGACTTTGTAACGTTTAAAGGACAGCAGGATACAGACCAGGAGCTGAAACAAGACACAGCTAGAAGCTGACGCCTCAAAGAAGATGCATGCCCAGCAAAAGAAGTATCCAACTTGCAGCTTACCACAGCGCTTGAACAACGTGTGATCAGCACTTATTAACCAATCAGTTAGCATATTGAGACGCATGATCTTTTGTAACAAGCAAATATATACCATGTACCTAACAATAAAGTAGAGCATTCACGATAACTCTTATGAGTAAGTGTCTGACTCGCTCACCGCAACAAGCTTGTACGGGTAATTCCATAGATACTGCAGATTGTAAGGGGAAGAAACACATGGCAGGCTTTGCTCTCAGTGTCTTTTTCCTTTCTAGCCTCCCAGCTGAGAGACTGAAAGTGCTGGCCTGCCTGAACGACCTGAGACAGCAGCGCCTAGACGTGATGAAGGTAATGCCAACCCTGTCTTGGTAGGGCACCCCCTTCCAGGACCTCTCTGTTGCTTCCCAACAGTTTCTCTCCCTGTCTCTCAGCCTTCTCTCCTCTGGGTTGGTTGGTGGTGCCAGCTGGTGCTGCCTTTCCTTCTCTGAGCAGCAGACTCTTTGATGGTGCTCTTTGAAAACCACATTAACCAGAAAAATGGTTAAAATCATCAGCTAAGAGTTGGATGTGGGCACCTGGTGGTTGTGAGAGATGGAATGAGCAGATAAGCTGTTTGAGATGTGTTGAGAAGCTGCTCTTTCACATCTCTTTGTGTAGAGCCTCCCCTTGGTTTGTTTTGTTAGTTTAGCCCCAGGCCTGTGTTAACAGACCTCCCCCTCACTTCCACTGTTTGCCACATCCAGCGGTTCCTCTCAGCAATGTCTGTTGCTTTAACTCGGGCCGGGGCTGCACACGTGTCTTGATAGTCTGTGCATCTGCCAGTCTTCTGTCAGCTCAGTGAGGAAAGAAGTCCTTATTTGTGTATTTTACCAAAGTGTGTGTGTGATGAAATGGTTTTATTTGCTTTTTGGAGGCAAGGATTAAAGTACAAGGAGGTGGTTGAGCCACCATCCGTGGAGACATCTAAGAAGAGAGGTGTGGTGCCAGGGGACAGGGTTTAGTTGTGGATGTGGCAGAGTTAGGGTAGTGGTTGGATTTGATGATCTTGAAGGTCTTTTCCAACCAGAATGATACTGTGATACTCTGTGTTTATCTTCTCTAATAAGTCACTGCAGTTACTCAGATGTCTCTTAACACACTTTTAGGGAGAATCCAGGTGTACTTCTTCCACATTTCAGTTACCTTGTGCTTTATGAGAAAAGTAAGAATCAAAATTTTCACTTGGCAAAATTTCACCTGATTTTAAAGACCATGAACAATGTCAAACCAAATACTTCTTACTGGAAGTCTCAGACATGTACTGCAGTCTCCTGCTTTAACTGGAACAGCAGATTAATAAAGGAAGCCCTTTTCTCAGATGTTAAGTTTTGCAATTACATAGGTGTAGGTAAAATTTTAAAATATTTTTACTTTAATTCCCTTGCGCTCTGAAACACGTGGCTTTGTCTTTTTTGGCATTGTGCTCAAGTAGTTCTCCAAGATAAATCTTGTTAAAGGGTAGGAAACAAAGGGTGAAACTAAACAATTACCCTCAGGTGATTTTACAGGAGGAAACAAAACAATTACCCTCTCCCACATACCCTTTACCTCGGTGCCTCTTTCTTTTCAAAGTCAAATTTTAAATGTTAATTATACTATTATTTGCCTTTTGTAGGTTTTTAACGATCCAATTCATGGGCACATTGAAATACATCCCCTTCTGGTCCGGATCATCGACACACCTCAGTTTCAGCGCCTCAGATACATTAAGCAGCTGGGTGGGACTTACTTTGTTTTTCCAGGAGCCTCTCACAACCGCTTTGAACACTCCATAGGGTAAGGCAGGGCCTTGCATGTTCATCTCATGCTCATCTGCATGTTCATCTCATGATCAACTTGGGTTTCCCCGAGTTCAGATGCACTAATGTGAAGGGCCAAGGGGCACCACTGTCATTGAGGATTACTAATGAAAGGAAGAGAAATAGATGTTATAAGCTACTGTTAGAATTGGAAGAACAAAATGCTTTGGTGACTGTAGGGGACCTTTTCAGTTGCACTAACTGGAAGGCAAAGGATAGTGTGTAAGCTGAGGGACTTCCAGTGCACACTTCGACAACCCACTGTGGCTGTGCAGTATGAAATGCTGCAGGATGCTTTTGTCTCCATGTTTTGAGCATAGTATCTCATGCTTTCTTGCTTTTGGACGTGTTACTGACCACTAAAACTCTACTACAGGAAATGGTTTGTCTCTAATGCTCTTGCAGGTCAGGGTTTGAGTATTTGGAGGTGTCCCTGCCCATGCAAGGGGTTGGAACTGGATGATCTCTAAGGTCCCTTCCAGGTCAAACCGTTCTGTGATACCTCTCAAACAAGGGCTGTGACTTGATGGAGGTGAACTATTCTTTTTCTGTTGAGCCTAAAACACTATCTATGTTCACTTTTTGTTTTGTTTTTACAGGGTGGGCTACCTAGCAGGGCTTCTGGTCCGTACACTGAAGGAGAGACAACCAGAACTGGATATAACCCAGCGAGATATCCTTTGTGTAGAAATTGCTGGGCTTTGTCATGATTTGGGTAAGTAACACTTGAGATGTCTTGTTGCTCTTTGAAAGCTCCCTAGGATGAAGACCATGGGATCAGAACATGAGAGCTCTTTGGGGCTGCTCGATGAGTGGCCATATTCCCAGACAGGGTTTGTTTTTCCCAAGTATCTCTGTGGGGGCAGCTCCCCTGGGTGAATTTGTGGCCATTCTTGGCCATTTTTTGTCTTGTTCCCAGGTGGTGTTTATTGTTCTGTTGTTCTAAGTGGCTGAAGTGTCTGCTTACTCTGTGATGTCCTCAGGTCTCATAAAACATTTCAGAGTGAAAACTAGTGGCCCTTTCAAAAATTATGATTATTTTATAACTTCTTCTTTTCTTCAGATCTGGTGCAGAGTAGTTAATGTTCTCAGTGGTCCTGCAGTCCTTGCCTGTAGTGTAGGTAACTGAACTGGGCATGTTAAGTGCAGTAGTATTTAAGATGTCTTAGGAAGGTTACTCACTGTAGCTGGATCTTCATCATAGATGGTGTCAAGATCAAGTCAAATACAGGAGAATCCAGATCTTTAGCTTGCTCAAAATATTATTGCTGACAATCATGTCTTAGATTAAACTTGTGTAATCTTTATTTTTAAGGTCACGGGCCATTTTCTCACATGTTTGATGGAAGATTTATTCCACTTGCTCGTCCAGGTTTGAAGTGGAAGGTAGGCTTTTCACTGTTAAAGTAAAAATAGAAAACTGACATTTTGAGGAGATTAGTCCATCTTTAAAGACTGGCAGTGCTTATGAGAATGGAGTGATCATCTCACTTTTTTTTGTTGGATCATTTTGATTACATAATTAAAACCCATGTTGTCCTCTGATCTTGTGATGCTTTCCTCATTGTTCTCTTTCACTGTTTGGGGAACATCAGGGCCCTCAGCGTGGCCAGGAGCCTTTCTGGCAAAGGAGAAGGAGATGTGGGGAGAAGTCAGCAAGGGCAGATGTTTGTCACAAGCACCTCTTCCCTGAAACAGCAAATGCTCTTTAACTTCTAGGTACTTTTGTGCAGGCATGTCCTCTTCCTGCAGACCTCGGGTTGGGTGACACAGGAGAAATAAAATGTCTCAGTCTCGTCAGTGCCTGCAGTGTGACTCTAAGGGAGCAGAATTCGTTAGGGCTGCACTGATTGTTTTAAGCCAGCACTGTGCCTTAAAACGTGCATTGTGAGCTTTCTTTAGGATGTTTCACAAATGTCACATACCAACTGGGAGCTTCTTTTCATAGGTTCAAAGACTGGTTTGGGTTGGAAGTGGCCATAAAGATTGTATAGTTCCAACCCTCTGCCATGTGCAGGGACGCCTCCCACCAGCCTGGCTGCTCCAAGCCCCATGCAACCTGCCCTTCAACACTTCCAGGGATGGGGCAGCCACAGCTTCCCTGGGCAACCTGGGACAGTGCCTTCCTACCCTCGTGGTGAAGAATTTCTTCCTGATGTCTAACCTAAATATCCTCTCTTTCAGTTTAAAACCATCACCCCTTGTCCTATCACTGCCCTCTCTGGTGAAAAGTCCCTCCCCAGCTTTTCTGGAGCCCCTTCAGGCACTGCAAGGCCACTATGAGGTCTCCCCAGAGCCTTCTCTTCTCCAGACAGAACAACGCTAAGTCTTTCCAGTTAAACGTTTTAATTCAATGCCAAGATATTTAATCCAGTGTTCAGAATTCAAATTTTCAGAAACTTTGAACAAAGTTTCAAGGGTTGTTTGCTGGGAATTAAATGTAACACAGTCCTTTCAGGCTGCTTATAATTATGAAGCAAAGTCAGATGTGTGAACCTGTCAATCTTCTGTACAGCAGAATTGGTTGTTTATTCATTTAACATTGTCACTATCTTACTACTGGTTGTTAACATTAAAAATAACAGGTGTCATCTGAAGAGTGTGTTTCTGGTCTGTGTAGACCAGCTGATTTCCTGTTTGGTTAGATACAAAATTAACAGAAAATCACCCAAGTGCTGCACTTTCACACCATGGTGCCTGGCCACGCGGTGCTGCTGGGTTAGGAGAAGGCTGTGACACTCAGGAAAGATGCTTAAAATTTGTATGTAATGTGACATTTATGTGTGTTTTTCACAGCATGAAACTGCTTCTGTTGAAATGTTTGAGCACCTGGTTACTTCCAATAAACTAGAAGAAGTCATGAGGTCATATGGTCTTGTCCTGGAAGAAGATTTTAACTTTATCAAGGAACAAATAGGAGGGCCTATAGATGAAGCAGCTTGTGAGAAATCAGTGAGTCATTGTTCTGCTTCTGTGGTTATCCCAGTAAATGGCTTTAATTTTACTGAATGACTAGATAGTTTCTGCTTCTGCTAAGCTTTAGTATTTATTTTTAGCCCCACAAAATTCTGAGCATCCCATGAGGAACTGAAGAAGTGTAGTGTTTATCTCTGACAGTGCTGACAGAAGGGACCTTAAAGAGGAACTGGTCCCAACCCCCCTGCATGGGCAGGGACACCTCCCACCAGACCAGGCTGCTCCAAGCCCCATCCAACCTGCCCTTCAACACTTCCAGGCACAGGGCAGCCACAGCTTCTCTGGGCAGCCTGGGCCAGGGTCTCACCACCTTCACAGGAAAGAATTAATTTTTGCCAGTTTCTTACTCAGTGTCTGTTTTTCCTTGTTTGGATTCTATCCCTATTTTCAGCAGAGTAACAGGCAAAGAAGGGTCATACAGAGTACGTGGCACCTTTGCCATTGTCCTGGAGTTAGTCTGCAGGATCTTCCACTGCAGTCAGCTGCTCTGTGGTGGTCTCACCAGTCCAGGCTCTGCTGCTGCTGAGGTGTCCACGCTGTAGTGCTGTCACCTTGATGCCCTTCTGGTGCTGATGTGAAAAACAGCTTGTTTACGGTTGGACAAAAACAATGTCCTGGATGTTGTCCCAGTAACAGAGTTCTTTGTGATCAGAACAAGATGTTTATGTCTATGACATGCTCTCTTCCCACTTACATATTTTTCCATTCTTATTCATACACATTTTAATATTTTTATAATCCAGGGAACATGAAAGCCATTTCATGGTCTGCCTTCAGCATTTCAGGGCCACTTTGTGGAATTTTTTGTTTAGCTGAAGAATCATTAGATGTAAAAAAAAATAAAAAAAAAATTATGTGCAACTTGCATCTTATTTTGTTGTTGATTTCCTCAACAACTTGCTGTTGATTTGCCTCATGCCTTAGTTATCCCTTGTGAGTTGGGAGTTAGGTAGCTGGCTGTTTAAACAATTTTTGTTTAAAACATCTAAATACTTGTTTGAAAACTCTTCTACAGTATTCTGTAGTTGATTGCAAAAGGCTGTGTGACTGGCACGTTTGTGGATTTAACAGAATCTTTTCAGTGGTGTCCAATGTCAGGACAAGGGGCACAAGCTGGAGCACAGAAGGGTCAAGCTAAACATAACAAAATACTGTGAGGGTGACAGAGCCCTGGGACAGGCTGCCCAGAGAGGTTGTGGAGTCTCCATCCCTAGAAACATTCCAAACCCATCTGGACGTGTTCCTGTGGGATCTGCTGTAGGTGACCCTGCTCTGGCAGGGGCTGCATTTCCAGAGGGCCCTTCCAACCCTGACCATTCACCAAAAAACAACACCTTCCCAAAAACTAATGGCCTGAGGATTCAATTATTCAAACCTTTTCCCTATTTTGCTGCTATGCTTTTTACTTGTGCCGTTTCAAAGCTGCAGGGTTTGTCTTTGTAGGATGGGAAATGAAATACTTGTGTACGTGAGTTTTATTGTTCCTGAGGCTCTGGGGGGTCAGCACCTTAAGCCTTAGCTCTGGATTTCTAGTGCCTGACAGCTTCTTCATGTTCTTTGCTACCTCTGTGTTGGGTGTTTAATCACAGGCAAAACCCGAGTGAATTCTTGTTAATTTCTTCCTGTTCCTGATTGTTTCTCTTGGTTCCTCTGTTCCTAGTGGCCCTACCGTGGTCGGCCAAAGGAGAAGAGTTTCCTCTATGACATAGTAGCCAACAAAAAAAATGGCATCGATGTTGACAAATTGGATTATTTTGCAAGGTACAAAACGTACTTTTATTGCTTTTGTTCTGAATTGCTACTGAAACAACTCTATGTCCTAGTGTGGTATCAAATGCTCTCTGTGGAATATTTTTAGGGATTGCCATCACCTAGGAATCCCAAACAATTTTGATTATAACCGATACCTTAAATTCACACGGGTGTGCGAAGTGAACAGCCAGAAGCACATCTGTACCCGTGACAAGGTGAGCAGGGAGTGGGACCTGTGGGGCAGCTGGGCCCTGGGCTGGGGGTGCTGGGGTTGCCTGCCAGGTGCTTTTTTAGCTCCAGAGAGGAAGCAGCAGCTGCTGCTCTGAGGGCTGTTCTCAGAAACAGTTGGTGTAAGGAAGGGAGAACCAGAGCAAGCCTCTATTTGAAAGGGCTTGTGGTGGGTCTTCCAGGGGATGCTCTACAGAACCATCAGCTGTGCATGATCCTGGTCAAAGTCTTATGAGCAAGTGGTGATTGTGGCTTTGGCAAGGGGCTGCTCAAAGAGCAGGGTGGCCTCTTTCTTGCCCAGGCTGTCTGGGGTCACTGCCAGGTTTCTGCTCTCCCACAACAGCCCAAGTCTGTTTCAAAATTTGTAAATTGTGAAATACAGCCATTCTGCTCTGTGATGCAGATGGGAGGAGGCAACTCATTTGATTCCTTGCTTATATCAGTTTTCCAATTGAGCCAATGTCAAAAGTAAAATATTATTTGGTCTCTTTGATTCAGGAAGCTGGGAATTTGTATGATATGTTCCACGAACGGCATTGGCTGCACCGGCGAGCGTACCAGCATAAGACTGGCAACATCATTGAAATAATGCAAGTATTGGACTTCCCTTTTCATGCATACCATTTATTTTGAAGTTCCTGAAACTGAGTATCTCCTTGGAATATTCAAATAATCAATGAAACATACAAGAAAAGTCACTGAGCTAGCTCTATTACCCAGTTCTTGTGGCAAGGCTCAGTGCTTTAGAGTATGGTGGGTTGCGATTACTGGAAAAAAAAGAGGAAACAACATCCTTCTGCATGAAATTAAATTAGAGGAAACTTACTAGAGCCCTACAGAAGCACAGGACCAGGATGTTCTTATGCTGTTTTAGCTACTGACAGCTGAAGTAAAATATTTATCTACAAGTTAGAAACAACTTATCTCTAACTGGCTGGTTACTACAACAGGGTTAGTAGCAGAGTGAAGTAAAGAGCAACATTACTGTAGCTCAGCTGAGGCCTGACTTGGTGTTTGTGTAATGCCAAGCAGGAATTGTCCAGGACCAACTCAGCTGGCTGCCTGCATTTGTACCTCTCATTGGTGTCTACAGAGGTTTCCTAAAGCATTATTCTTTCTACTTTTCTTGTAAAGCAGAAAGGTTGGTTTCCCCAGATATTTTCATTAGGATTTTGGCTGCTGAGTTTGGAAGAAAGGAACACAGAGGATTACACAGTACAGGAGTGATCTGTGGCTGCTTTAATTTCATAAACTTAAGCTCCTGGTTTATTTTTTTCCTCTGAAGCTCAGACTGAAAATGCTAAAGTTTGACAGTACCTACATGTGAGGAGTAAAGCAGACAAGAAATTTAGTTCTTGGTTTACCACATTGATAGCAGCCTATCCAAATGAGCATGCAAGCTGAAAATTACAAGAGGTAGAAGAAACTCTGGAAGAACTTGAGCTTAAGAGTATTTTGTTTCACCTGAAGATAACCAAGTGTTCATGTAACTTTATCTCTACATGGATCCAAATGAGCATGCAAGCTGAAAATTACAACAAGAGGTAGAAGGAACTCTGGAAGAACTTGAGCTTTAGAGTATTTCGTTTCACCTGAAGATAACCAAGTAACTTTATCTCTACATGACTTTGTGTTCTCTCAGTTATCTCCTGGAGCAACAAGCCTGTAAAAGAATAAGCTGTAAAAGGCAGCTGAGTGACCAGAGTGCAGAGTTCTGTAATCATCTGAGCAATGTTAAGCTCCTAGTCTGAAGTAGAACAAGGTGGACTTACTGATTTATTGAAAGAATTTGAAAGTCTGATCTCAACCAGTTTTCAGTAGCTGGAAAGGCTGTGGAGCTGTGCAGTGACAGGATGCAGATGGGACATCCTGCAGTGCCACCAGGGCCTGCTGTGTGCTCGGGGTGCACTTTAATCTCTTGTCTTCTATTTTAACCTACTAATGAATTTCTTTTTTGACTATTGAGCAAGAAGGTGCTTCAGGATTATGCTTTCCTGAAGTCTTAATTTTGTTTTAAACTAGGATTACGGAAGCCTTTCAAAAAGCAGACAAATTTTTTAAAATAGAAGGCTCTGGAGGAAAGCAGTACCACATTTCTACAGCAATGGAGGACATGGAAGCCTACACTAAGCTAACTGGTATGATCTCTCAGGTTTTGTGTTTTTTTAAGTAAAAGAACATTAGTAACTGTTAGGATGTTGTTTTAACAGCTGGGTCTTTGCCTGTGAGTAGGACTGTGCAGCACTGCTTTTGTGCATAGATGGGGCAGACCCAGAATGTCCAGCCTCTGTGCTCTCATATCTTGCTGGGAGAGCAAGACCTGCTAGTTTAAATTGCTTTCATGTTGAGAGAGAGAGAAGCACCAACTTCTTATATTCCACGCACCTTCGAATGCAGGTTGTCACAAGCAGTGTGTTAGCAGGTCCTGCCTGTGCCCTCAGTTTGCTGCACTTCTCACCAGTGAGATAGGAGTCAGCTATGAGTGATCCTACTTCAGGCAGAGAAGTCCTGTCTGTGTTGCAGTGTGAAACTAGCCCCAAGGCAGGTTTCAGAGGGCTCTGGTGGCATCTGATTTGATTTACTTGAACCATTGCTACCCTGCTTGCAAATAACAGAAGAAAACAGAATATATTAACAACTTAAGTTTATTGCTGAAAATTTCTAGTTGCTCAGTTAAGAGCCGGTGGGAAAGGTTCTCCTGGGCTGAGCACACAGAGCAGCAACCTGCTTGAAGACGTGCAGGGAGCTCCAGTGTGGTTACAGAGTGAAGCAAACAAGAGCTGAGACTTGTGATATTTTCCCAGAAAAATAGCCTGGCTGCTGGCAGCTGCTTCTGAAGGTCTGGCTCAGTGCTCTGAAGATGAAACAGGGAGAAATTAATTTTTCAACTCTTGATTTGACAGCAAATCCTAGTTTTAGTAGAGGGTGAGACAGCAAAGCCTTCCTTGTCACTACTGCTTTTGCACAGTGGATGTGTTCATGAGTTCTTATTTCCCCTGCATTGTCTCTCAGTCTGGAGACTCAGTCTGTTATTCCTGGGGGAGAATTTGTCAACCTTGTCTATAAAAACAACCCTTAGATAAAGGTGTTTTGGTACATGGCTCATTGCTTGCATGGCTTCTGGAGTGTGCTGGGAGCTTTCTAAGCCAGTTGTGGTTTTGGCAGGGGTTGGAGAGCTGTGAAAGGTGAGCAGCATCCCAACAGCGCTTTAGGAAAGCCCAAGATATCTGTTCTGAAGCCACATTGAAGGAAACCTGGGTCTTGCTGCTGTGGTATTGATGGTGGGAAACACACTGTCAGGTGGAGACAGGAAGGGGGGCTTGCTTGCTGAACAAGATTGGCCAAATAAGATGAGGCAGCAGCTTCCAGTGAAATAATAAAACTTGTTGCCAGGGTGAGATTTCATCAACTTTTTCCAGCAACAACTGTTCTGAATCTGTTGATAATTAAGGTGATGTTGTAAATGACTTCTCAGTTTCCAGACTTGGCATGTTCAGTCATTCTCTGAAAGTGTCTTTGCCAAACCAGCAGTTTTTCCCATTGCTTTAACCTTTGTCCCTCTACATATATTTTGCTTTTGTCACTGGATGATGATGTGCTTAACAAATATCAATGCAACTTTGGCAGATAATATCTACCTGGAAATTCTGCACTCAAATCGTCCAGAACTGAAGGAGGCACGAGAAATTTTGCATAAAATAGAACGTCGGGAATTATACAAGTATTTAGGAGAGACTCAACCTGAAACAATGGAGGGAATTGGAAAGGTAATGTCCACTGCTGGAAGGTTCTGAACTCTGTCCCTGTAAAAATGTTCTCTGAAGTTACTATCCATCTTATTTTCTCTTATCTCTCTGTAGTTTTTGTTTGGTTGGGTTTGTTTTGTTTTGTTGGGGTTTTTTTGCTTAACTGCTGTTTCAAAATCAGGTGGGCAGTATTGGGCCTTCTCAGTTATATAAGCTTACTCTGCTTCTAAAAACTGATAGAAAATGTATGGCTAAGAAGGATTCAAACATTTCTGTAAGGAGGGTCTGTCAAGCTGTGAAGAAATGAAAGCATTGGCTTCGGACACGTTCTGACAAGCATTTTGTTGCCTTGGTTGAGACCCAACAGCGCATAAATGTGACCTCAATTACTGCCTTTTTTTCAGAGTAATAACCTGGGAGAAGACATTGCTAATTCCAAGCCAGAAAAGGATCCTCCAGATGTGGAGGTAAAGGCTGAAGATTTCATAGTGGATGTAAGTATCTCTCAGAGCAGGTTTAGAATAAAAACTTGTCAGTCACAGAGGGCCTTGTATACCCTGGTAAGAACTGGAGGTAACATTCCAATACATTTGCAGAGGGAAAGAACAAAACCAGGGGGTTGCTTCCCAGGTGCTGCCCATGCTGCTCAGCCCTGGGAGCAACCAGCTCCCCTGGGAGGTTGGCTGTGGTTGGAGGGGCTAGGGCAGGGTCTTCAGGCAGCTTTGCTGGGCTGTCCTATGGGCACTTCTGCTCCCAGTAACGAATGTGATCTCCTGTAACTGTCCTCCCTCTGAAAAGGAGCAGCAGGGAAACCTTTGGGGGTTAGTGCATGGGTGTTGAGGTCAGCAGACTGTGACCCTGTACAGTGGGGGATGAGGGCAGGCAAGCTGTGGGCTCCAGCAGGAGGATAATGGGCACGGTGCCCTCCTGGCTTCTGGCGCTGCCCACCTGATCTCTGGCAGTCACTGCTGGGTTTTGCCTCCTGCATGAAGTGCCTTCCTGCCACAGCAAGGGAGAGAGCCTGAGGCCGAGAGCTTAAGCAGTCTGCAAGTGTCCAATAGTTTAATCCCTTTTCTTGGTTAATTCTGAGAAGAGCTAATGAATGGCTTTCCATAGAGAGCATCCCGCATCAATTCTAGAGTTTCCTTGGATTGAAGATTCACTCCAGGCTGGGTAAAATTGTAGCAGTTTACTAGGAGTGTAATGCCCTTGGGAACTTTGTAAGTGAGTGGGTTGAATAAATGTGCTGGAGGAAGTGGTGGGACATGAAGGGGAGGGTCGGAATGATTCCCTCACACCAGACTTGGCAATTGGTGGAGGAGCCACCTTTACTTAACTCAGAAAAGGAACATAGACCTTTGTGTTTGATAAATGGCCTTAAGGCAGTTGACTGTGCTTGTTGCACAAATTGGAGTAATGAGGAAGGGGACTCCTTCCTGACCACCAACCTGTTACGTGTTCCAAGCAGATGTCAAGAATGTTGTCCAAACCTCCTGTTTAAAAGTGTGAGCCCTGCTGCTGCCCCATTCTGTGTTTTGGGGAGGCACAGGCTGGCAAGGGACCAGCACACTCCCACTGCTGGACACTGGAGTGTTCCACAGCTGGTTGATGTAAATATGACTATTCACCTGGCAGCTTCAGAGTAAAAGTTGGTGGAATAAAATATACAAAATACCAATACCCAATTGGTTTATTAAGTAAGCATTTGTTAATTACTGTTCTGTTTGATTAATGTAATTTACAGAAGTGTATTGTATTTGCTGTATTGATTGTAAAAAAACCTGATGACAACCAGTAACAAATGCCATTTTCTCTGCTTTGCATGCAAGGTTATCAATATAGATTATGGAATGAAAGAACAGAATCCCATTGACAAAGTTCACTTCTACACTAAGGCTGATCCTTCCAAAGCAGTCAACATCCGCAGAGAACAGGTATCACAGAATGGTTGGGGTTGCAGGGACCTCCCAGGACCATTGAGTCCAACCCCCCTGCCAGAGCAGAACCAAAACTAGGGCAGATCACGCAGAAAGGCATCCAGACAGGTCTTGAAAGTCTCCAGAGGAGACTCCTCTCTGGGCAGCCTGCTCCAGTGCTGTTTTCCTCCTCTGGCTTCTGAAGGGCAGCTGGCTCACAGCCTGGGATGGAGGTGATTGCTGTCCTTCATGGTGGTTCCTGGAGGAGCTGTGGAGGAGAGGAGTTGTGGAGAAGCTGTGGACTCCCATGTCCTTGCAGGTCTCTCACTGTGCTGTACTGTGACAGCCTGGAGCCCTGGCAGCCTCTGCATGGGAGCAGCACTGAGCCTGGATACACTGGGGGTCCTAGAAAAACACAGTTGTTTTGGATAAAGCTCATGGGTTATAGTTTTTTACTGCTTTCCTTCTGTATTCAGATGAATAAACTGCAGCTCAGTGAGCTCTGAATTTCAAAAAATTCTAAAGCTGATTTTTTTTTATTTCAAAGGTTTCAAAGTTTCTTCCCGTCACGTTTTCAGAGCAGGTTATCCGGGTTTATTACAAAAGTCAGGATCCAGTTATTCTTTCAGCTGCAAAACAGTATTTTATTCAGTGGTGCATGAAGAATGATTTCACCAAACCACAGGTAACAAATTCATGTGTTGTTTTTGTTGTAATTAAAGCTCTTCACCTTTGTCCATAAACCTGCTCTCGCGTTAAAAAACTGGCAGTTAGGCCTTGCCTCTGTGGCAGAGCCACTCCTCACTAACCCAGCTTTCTGTGGCTCACACCTGGGCACACTTTGGTTTCACTTCAGTAGTGATGGATTTGCAGTGATTTAACTGGCATAGTTTGAAAATTCATGCTGTTATGACAAGGGTAGTATCTGCACAGTCACTAGTTCATAGATGCAAGTTTCCTCCTACAAAAGCACCGAGAGATTAAAAGATCTAGGGAGGAGGTCAAATCAGTACTTCTGTTGCTTTCCCTCCTTTCCTTCCTTGCCCAGCAGCTGTTAAACTCACTCCTCCCCCAGGGAATTCACAGTTGGTCTGTTTGTTTGCTGTGGGTTAGAGTGGAAAATATCTGCAGGAACAGGATTGCAGACCTCTACTGTCTGGGCAGTTGGTCTGTAGTCTTGGAAGGCCTTATCTGTGCCCTGTGTCTCCCTGTCATGTCAAGTCCAGACCCTAGAGGTTTCCAGCTGTGAGGAAGGCAGAGGGTATGTTAGGGCTCCTCTGATGTTTTGTTTTATGCTGGCCTGGCAAGCGAAGTGGAGACTCTAAAGCAGAACCCAAGTCTGTACATCTTGCTTTGTGTTCCTCCTGCCAAAGGTGGTGGAGAAGCCTGTAGCTACCATGGCTGTAAACTGCTGATGTGTGGTAAGACATCCCCATCACACCCCTCTGGCAGGAAGGTGGGCACCTTCGTCTAAAAAAGTTGCTAGGTGCTGGTGGTTCCAGTATATCCCTCGTTGTATGGAAGCAGTTATGGTTGTATCAACCAAGGGATTTTTTGCGTAGAAAATGCTAATGGAGCCACTCTGCTGTGTGCAGGAGCTGTCAGGTTCCTGGAGTGCAAGTGTCAGTAGGTTTGGTAGATGTGCTGGCAAATCTGCTGTTGTGTTTCTCCCCTAATGGTTTAGTGAAAGAAACAGCTTTCCTCAGTTTCATGCACTTTTCCAGGTGTTTTCCACTATCTGGCATCAAGCCTCAAAGTAGAATAATTGCTCATATTAAAATCTGCAGGTTGCTTAAGAAATACAGAGTGAACAGTTGGTTCTTTAACTGTATTTTTTTTTCCTTTTCATCAAGTGTTGTTTCATCAAGCATCTAATTTGTTAGAGACACCCACAAGTCTCACCTGGACAAAGACACACATGCTCTGAAATGAAAGACTATCCAGCAGATGGGAGTTCTGTGCTGCAGCTGCAGCTGTGGGCATCAACACTTAGCATGAGAACAAGCCTTAAAGCAGTGCTTCTGGCATCTTGTCTCTGGAGAGCAGTGGATTGCAGAAGGGCTTTTTACAGCTGGATCAAACAACAAGCTCTCCCTGCTCCTGTTGCTGTATCCCATGAGCATATTCTTTCATTCCAGGTGTATTCATCTAGCAGGCCCTGGCATGTTGCAGAACTCAGCAACATGGGTCTCACCAGTGTGTTTTTAAGCTCAGAGAACTGCTTGTTCTCTCTGTGCTGTTGCTACCTGAGCACCAGGGTCACCTGTGTCCCTGGCAAGCAGCACTGCTGCCTTAGGCCAGGCCAGTTACTCTCACCATGTTACACACCATCAGGCAGAGAAAGGCACATCCAGGCACCCACACCCACTCACAACAGTTCTCAATGAGATACTATGGCAAATCTTATTTACAGTTAGATTTCCAGTTCCTGTACCAGTGCCCAGAACACAAAGCCTGCTGATCCTTCCAGATGTGGTCATGATTTAGGAGGAGGTGAACTGCCAGTGGTGAAGGCTTCTCAGATATATGGGGGGGTGGTTCTCCCCACCAGCTGCTCCCACTGCCCACAGCAATTCATGTCTTTGCAATGTGCCATCTTCAGTGCTCATTGACTCACAGCACTTGTAGGACCTTGCACATCTTTTTTTTTCTATCAAGTCTGATACTGAGCTTCCTTCCTTCTGCTTTAGGATAGAAAGCAAAAGTGAATGTACTATGATGAATGTTTTCTGACTTTTAATAATAGGATGGTGATGTGGTTGCCCCTCATCTGACTCCAATGAAGAAAAGCTGGAATAACATGAGAGATGATGGACACAGAACAGGTTCAGAGCCCAGCTGTAAACAAAGGCTTTCTTTTGATAAGTAACACTTCCTTTTGGCACTATTCAGTCTGCTTCTTCAGAAGATGAGTAAACTTGAGCAGCAAGTGTTTTAAAAGCCAATTGCATGGACTATACAGTTTATAGAGCAATGCAGAAATGCATTTTACAGTAAGTTTTAATGTAAGTACTTGAACAAAGTGCATTCTCAAAATGGACTTTTAAAAAATTAGCAACCTGATACAACCAAGCTCAATTCCCATTGATTTTTGAATGTATTTGCATTGTGTAGCAAGAGTAACTTAAAAAATTGCAATTCATCATTCTTACAAGTACTGAAGACACATTATTGTTCCTCCTGATCCCTTCTGAAGATGCTTGTGATCCTTCATAAACTAGCAGAAAAACTTCCAGCTCAAGGGTTTTTGGGGCTTTATTTGTTGTTTGGGGTTTCTTTGTTTGCTTTTTTTTTCCCCAGTCCCTGAAGAAGAGAGAGTTAAGTGAGGTAATAGACCTTTGAAATAACTACAGATGGCATCTTCAACAACAGCAAAATGTATTTCATTTGAAAACAAGAAAAGGAGGTAGAGAGGAACCTTTGTAATAACCAGATATCACTTTTCTGGTGTTCAAAAAGCTGATGAAGATGCAGGACTCTTGCTATAAATGTGACCCCAGTTTTTATTGAAGTAACAATGTATTGCAGTGACATGCAGCCTTTTATTGTTTTATATTGTATTTTTGATACATTGAATGTTCTTATTTTTGTTGTTACACTGAACTGCAAAACCTGCTCAAGTGTCTGTGGTGAGACAGGCAGGAGAGCAGAGCTGCCCCAGTGCTAGTTCTGCTCCTCCTTGCACCCAGTGCACCTTGTTTCTGCATTACACTGTGCTAGGCAGACAGGCTCTTCAGGAATTCCTTCATTTTTGTGTCCCTCCTCTGTTTCTCTTAGCTCCCTTTTCCTGTGTCATTTTTATCTCCCTTGTAGAACTATGTGGGTTCTTACATTTCTCCCTGACTGGCAGGACTAGCTCGTGTTACTGTGTGCCTGTCCAGGTGTCAAAGTGAACAAGGAAGACCTTTTTCCTCTCACCTTCTGCTCAGGTTTAAGAGGAAGCTGCTTTCATTAATTAAAATACCTGAAAGCTTGAAAAAGCCTTCCCTCAAAACTAAAAATGCAAAGGAAAAGGTTCAGCAATTGCTCAGAAATTGGAACAAGGTTGGAATTTCCAGATCTCAAGTGGGGAAAGAAGAGTTCAGCATTCAGGTTTGACAGCCCAGCGTGGGTCACAGAGTCAGTTTCTAAACTAACACAGTGTGAAGTCACAGGGAGAGAACTTCATGAAGCCCTCACATCCAGCACCTTCCTTGGCCTTTGTCTCATGGGACCTGGTTGCTGTTCAGAAGGGAGAGGGCAAGGGGGGTTGAAGTGACCAGGAGTGATGCTGCTTCCCTGAGCACCTGGTGCTCCTGTGCCGAGGTGACGCGGTGCCACCGCTGCCCTTCCCACCTTCACCTGCCGTTCAGATCTGCAGGTGCACCAGGTGACAGTTGGAGGGGGTTGGGACCTCTTGAAAAGCTTTTAAAGAGCTTCTCATGATGCTTCAAGAAACAACATCATAAAGCAAAAGCATTTATCTCCCTTGCCTGCATAAAATCAAGTCTTGTTCAGAATGATGCAATTTTGTTATTGTTGCTTGAGTTTGTCTTGAATCAGTTACAAAAGCTGCACTTTATACTTGGGAATTATCTTTCACTCATATATCTTTCACTTCTGTTTAAGCAAAAATTTATAGTTAACATTAAGTTCTGAGACAGAGTGTTTCCTTTTTTTCAAACATGTTAATCTGAGCCTCCCTGGATTAAAAATAAATTTATAAACAATGATTTTACTATTCTTTTAAGGAGTTGCAGTGTGTGAACTTTATTAAACATGATCTTACTGCTGCACAAAGAAGCCAAATATATTTCCAGAGGACAGACTGCTCAGTGGCAGTGTAGATGGAAAAGCTTGAAGTGGTAGTGTTTGAATTCAAGTTTGCTCTGAAGGGTGAGTGCAGTGGAGCCAGCTCAGCTGCCAGGGACCCTGGGCCCAGGGGTGAGAGAGCAGGACCTGGTGCCTCCTGGTGGAGCTGCAGCCCTTGGCCATGTCCTGGCCTGGGCAGAGCAGGCAGGGGCAGGCCCCTGGCTCCAGCATCCTCCCAGCAGCCAGCTGGGCTCCAGCTGCTGTGCTGGGGGAAGAAGAAGTGATGTCATGATTGACCAACCTGGTCACCTCCTGTGAGGAAAGGAGCAGCCTGGTGGCTGAGGGCAGGGTGGTTGGATATTGTCTACCTCAACAAGCTGTTGAAGTGTGGTTTGGGGAAGCAGGCAGGGAGGGACTGAGAACTGGCTGAGGGACTGGGCCCGGAGCGTGGTTGATCAGGGGCACAGTTGAGTTGGAGTCCAGTCTAGTGGTGCATGGGGTTCAGGCCCAGTGGTCTTCCATTATTGATCTGGATGAGGGGACAGGGTCCACCCTCACCTCCTCCTGGGGTTTGATGGGATCCAGGCTTCACAGAGCTGCAGGTTTAGGGTGGGAGTTGGCAGCTGGGGAGGTCATGGGCTAGTGCTTCCAATCAGTGCCCAGCTGCTCTCCGGAAATAAATCTGTGGCCAAAGCAGGCAGGCCCTTGTCCTCCTGTAGAAACTCCTTGGCCACCTCTGTCTTAAATCTCGTCTGTGGGACTGGGCCTGCTGCTTGGACAGGGGAGATGGGATGGTGGAGGAGGAATGAGAGGCCAAGCTGTGTCAGCCAGGCAAGAGGCAGCAGGTTGTGAAGCCACAGGTGGGAAGGGGCCTGAGGAGGGCTCTTCTCTCCATGGTGGGGACAGGTCAGGGTGAGATGCCCAGTGTAGCCTAGATACTTCTCAGGAGGAAGCCCTGGTCCTCGGGGTGTAATGGGGGACAGAGAGGGTGGACTTGAAGGGTGGGGACATGTCCCCACTGCAGGAACTGGGCTGGGGCAGGACTGGCTCTCCCATCCCACTCCCCAGCCCTGGGCACAGCTCCATGGTGTTGTTCCACATCCAAGCAAGGAGGCTGGGAGGGAGCTCTGCCTCTTTATTGAGGTGCCATCCCTGTGCCCCCCCACCCTGGCAGCACTGTCCCTGGGGGCTGCAGCTGGGGGGGCAGAGGCTGCCTGGGCTGGCTCTGGCCTGCCACGTCCTGCTGCTTTCCAAGCTTGTGCCTCCATCCGAGGACCCTGTGGTCCTTGGCCCTGCCACAACCCCCTTCTGGGGCAGCTCTGTCTGTCCCGAGGGGGGGGGCGGGGCGGGGGGGGGGGGGGCGGATCCCCCCCCCCAGCCTGTCTCCATCACCAGCTGTGGGCAGGCAAAATGGGGCCCTTGGTGGGGACAGGGTGGAGGGAGGCAGGGGTGAGGCTGTGCACTGTCCCCTCAGGCTCAGTTGGTGCTGGCAGGGAACAGCAGGGCACCAGCCATGGGTCCCAAAGCATGGTGCACTCCTGTCCCCGAGGGGGCTGCAGGGTCAGGCCAGGCCCCACACTTCCAGCTCCTGGACCCGGAATTCCTCCCGCGGCGAGAGGGTCTCGTTGTCGAAGGTGTCGCAGGGGCGGCTGCCCCCGTGGTGCAGGTCTCCATCCAGCCACAGCCCAGACCTGCCACTGGGAAGGTGCCCATGGCGTGGTCAGCTGAGGGTCCCCTCCTGCTCCTGTGTCCCTGGAGACCTCCCCAGCCACCTCTCAGTGGACCAGTCACCACCCTGTCCCTGTTCCCACTCTCCAGTGCCCTCCTGTTGAGGATTCCAGGCACAAGGGATGGGCAAAACTGGGATGAGACAGGACAAGCTGCCACCACGGGGTGAAATGGCCAGTGCTGTGGGACAACCTCCACCCATGGGTTTGGCTTCACATAACCAGCCTGTGCCCAGACTGTGCCTGTGCTTGGCCCATGGCCCCAGTGGCCATCAGGGTGGGGACCCCGTGGGCTGCTGGCACAGCTCTTACCTGCCCCCACCAACCATCAGCAGGTCCACATCCCCTTTCACAAAGAAGTTGTTCCTGCCTGTCCACCTGAACACCTGCATGGGGACAATGTTGGCCAGGACTGCAAGCTGGGGCACAGTGTCCCCATCCCCATCTCTGTCCCCATCCTGTGCAGGACAGCTGGGGACTGCCAAGCAAAGCTGGCTCTGCCTGTCCCCACCATGTCCTGCTTCTCCTGGCCAAGCCTGTGGGCACCATCCTGGTGCTGGACCACCCCTGCCAGCAGCCCTGGGGGCCCACCCCCAGAGGAAGGCTGCCACCCACTGCCACCAGCCCCATCTCACACACACACAAAACCCCTCTGCACAGGCAGATGTAGCTGAGGTACCTCCACGTCCCACCAACATTGGGCTGTGACCACCTTGGCATGGGCAGGGACCCCAGGGATGCCTGGTTGGGCAGGGTCCCCTTCCCTGAGCCCCCACCCTCCTACCTGGCTGGCAGGGGTTGGACTTGTTGCTCTGCCCTGGTCAAACCCCAGGGGAACACACCTGGCAGGGACCCCCACGCAGGGACCCCTGCCTGCTACACCCACCCAAGCAGTCATGTCACCCCACACTGCTGCTCCAGGGCTCCTCCCCAGCACCCTGGGGTCCAGGTCACCGGGGAACTGCCAGCCCCCCCCGGGGTACCCCGGCTGCAGCCCCCACCTTCAGCTCCGGGGAGAAGGAGAACAGGAAGGTCTCTCCCGTCCCGTAGAAGCCCCTGCTGCACTGAAAGGCGGCGGCAGAGAAGGCACCAAAGGCCTGG